AGGATTTATCTGCAAGAAAATGTTTCGTAAAAACCAAGAAAAAAAAATTAAAAGGGAAGAGATCCGGTAAGAAGAAGAACAGGCAAATTTCTTTAAACTGACCCAAGCAACGAGATCAAGCATCAAGGAATCAAAAGGGATCTAAGAGATCTTACAATGCGCTTCTTGGAGGCCGATAATTCCCTACCGTACGCGGCCAATTCGCCCCCAATTCCTCGCACGCCCCGCAAGAAGGCCTCGGATTTCCCAATAGCCCCTACCGCCGCAGATCGATCCCCGGAACAAGGCCGCAAGATCTACCCTGGATGCCCCAATTCGCCGCCAAGACGACGGATCTTTGCCTTCTTTCTTGACTTCTTCCAAGAATTTCTCACCCCTATCTCCTCGCCCGCCCGGCACCTAAGCCTCAATCCCTCGAGGAGCACGGCGCCGCCGTGGCGGCCAGCGCGCGTTCCTTCACAGGCACGCCCTCGAAGCGGCCGGCGCGAGCGCCACAAATTCCCCCTGCCGGAGGACGATCGCGCCCGCTAGAGCTCGCATTCGAGGCGCTTGGCGGCGGATCAAACGCCCAAAACGCTCCCTTCCTCTCTCTCCCTCTCTCGAAAAAATACCACACTCCAAATCTTTCTATGTCTTCCCAACGCGTGTTCTTCTTGTGTGTTCTGTAGGGCTTTGTTGTGTTTTTACCCCGCGGTTAAAAACTAATCTTTACCTCCAACTACAAATACCGGGTCGTCATTTACGGCATAAACCTCCGTCAAACCCAACGGCGATCCTCCGCCGTCCATTCCCAACCATCCGACGGTCCGGGCCCCGCGTGCTCTAACGTGCGGCCAGCAATTGCAGCGCCATGCCCACTCGTATTCCACGTGTAGCTCTCTTTTAAACAGATAGGCTAGCGCAGCCCCGGCACAGGCCCAAGACAGGCCCGGCACAGCCTCGGCACAGCCTCGGCACACAGGCTCGGCCATCTTAAACCCCCTGGGTTTGAGATTTCGGGCTTTTTCCCTCCCTTATCTGCCACGTCCGCGCCTACGTGGCGAGCGGACCCAATGGCGCGTGTCCGTTTAACGTGGTCATCATCCACTTTTCCCATTGGCCAGCGTGTTTTACGTAGTGGGTTATAATCCGTGCAGTCCAGAATGCCGTACGGGGCCATGCGCGCGCTCTATCCTCTGGCGCCCCCGGTCTGTGTGTGAGCCGGATGGATTGGCAGGGGAATCTTTTAGATTCCGGGCCGATTCCCCTAGTTGTTTTCTTTTCCCCTCAAGAAACATTCTAATCGCCAGTTTCTTGGAGGGGCGGCCATTCATGGCAAGCATGATTGGGTCATACCTTGGCAACCGAGCTTTGGATCTAAACAAACCCATCACCGTCCATTTAAGAAGAGAAGCGATTGTGTAGAGCTTACTTGATTGTGTGATTTTCCAGATTCCAATAACCCAGTTGTTGGATAGTAAAAAAAATGCGATTGATTATATTTTTTGGGTTTTGTATAGCTTATACAAAACTATACAACGAGTGCCTCGGCATTGAGGCTGGCATGTGGCCGCCCAACTACGCACCTCAACTTGAAAGGGTTGTTTTCTTGCAAATATTAGAGAAAGCTTGGAGGAACAACGCGGGATGGATTGTTCCAAGATCTCAATCAAGTGTCTCGTCGGGATCAAAGAGAGAGATTTGGCATCGAAAACGTGACAGTCGCGTGGGGACAAAGAAGAAGAAGCGAGAATCAATCTCCTCCATATCTCAAGCCGCACAGAGTTCTCTTATTTTTCCTCTCAAAACCGCGATCAACTTGCTCGAAAACTCAAGGCGAAATCCTCGAAGTCAAACGTATTCAAAGGAGTTGACTATAGAAAGATTCCATCGCACCTCACATGTTGGTTGTATGGCGCCACAAGCAAGATGCCACGAACCGGGGAATCGAATCATCGGTAATGACATAAACACAAAAAAAATCAACACACGACAGCCCACATTTGTGGCCAGGCCAGCCAGCGATAGACGATGTTCCTTTAACCTAAAAGGCTATTATACAGACTGGGAGAATCCAGATCCTCGAGAAAACAATGTGTGACTGTGAATCCCCTCGCTTTCCTCGCTCAGGGCTTCGATTCGAGCCGCGGACGTTTTGTTCCTGGTGTAACGTAGCTCTCGCCTCTAAATATTAAGAATAAAGGAATAAATAAAATAGAAGCACACATTCTAAATTGCTGACGCGTTGCTGGTGCTGTTCGTTTTTTGTACTATCCTGTTGTAGGAGGTGGTTTGGTAATTTGGTTCTTCCAGCATGATTCAAGGCAAGCACAGGCCAGACGCACCCAGTATAACTGCCAATTTTGTTCCAGAATTTATTTATAAATTCCAGAAAAAAGTATTGAATTTATATTTTTCGTGTAAATATTTCCGTTTCTTTTTTAATTCATAGAATGCTGTAAGAAACTGGCGATGGCGTGCGATGGACTCCTGTTGGTTACGTAATGGACAAGCGGCCAAGCAAACAGGTCAGTCAACTGGCCAGCGCGCAGCAGCGCTGCTACGTGACGATCGAAGATACCACTCACGCAATTGGAGCTTTGATCCAAAGTAATAACCATGTCTTCGCAACAAAATACTATACTATAGAAACATCCACACCATTCAGAACACGAAATCGCTCGTGGAGGAAACAATACCAGTCCTGCTCGCATACGTCAGCAAAGCATTCTCTTTTCCTCCCTTAGGGCAGCTTTGTCAACTTTTATAATGGTCTCTGGAGCTTGATCACTCCTCTACCTACACTCTTTAGGAGAAAGCTTGTCCACTTGTGGATATATGTGTAGACTATTTAATATGTATTCTAGATATTTAAAATTATTAAATGGTTGTTGCTTAGAATATGCTAGCATCACTCACTGGCGGCCTGCCACCATGAAAGGTCCAGAGGGGAGGAAAAAGGCCTTAAAAAAGTGGGGATCCATCCTCTTCTCTCTTCTTCGTTCGTGGTCCAAAAACACCACCTACCTCTTCAATATCCACGTGTCTATCAGATATTAATGGAGAATTTCCAATAAAGGAAAAAGGGAAAAGCCAATCGGTTCTTGCTGCATTATTGGGTGCTGGAGATTTCCCTCTACTGCTTGTAAGAATAGAGGATGTCAAAAGTTAAAACTATGCTTGCAATCTCTAGCCAAAATCATTACCCCTGAAAGCTTGTGTCTCCAAATCTCGTGTTATACTCCAACAAAAAGCTACTCACAAGAGGGCTTCACAATTTATCTAATGTATCGACCAAATAATCCCAAAGTCTGCCCAGCATGCCCTACGTCAAGCATGTGGAAACGATAGCAAAGCTGTAGTGAAGTTACTGGTACGGATGTATTATTCAGCAGTGTAGTATAGAAAATTAAACAGAACAAAACGTTTGAGATAGGATTAAGAAATTAAAATATAAACTAGACTTGTCTCCATGTTTTTCTAAAACATTACTTGAAAAATATTATGTATCATGTGGGATACTCAAAATTGTATTTATCTTTCTCTAACATTAAAGATGTTTGTGCTCTTACATAACTAAATAGCAAGAAATTTACTATTGTATAGAATGAGAACAATTAGTAAACTGGGTTTATATAATATAATAAAAAGTAGTAAATTAAATGTAAAATTGGTGGATAATCAGATCAAATTAGTTAGGATAGTAAATTTATAAAAAAGATTATTATTTTCAAACAATTATATGATTGGATAACCAGTTTACCTTATATAAAATAGTAATATCATACACTAATGTGAACGTAAATAGATTTTGCAAATTATGTATTAAAACAAAATTTATTCCTAGAGTGTGTAGATACATTATATAAAAAATAATAATAATTTTAGTGAGCATGTAAATTTTATTATTTTTAACTTAAAAATGTTAAATTAAATTCAACTTAATAAATTTCCCAGTATGAAATCTTCTTCAAAACCATCATAAAGTTTCTTTTGCAACTTAAAATATTTTATTAAAATATTAGAGGTTGTAATACTTAATTTTGAGATACATTATTACAAAATCACACTAAATTATACATAAATATTTCTATGATGCAATTAATTTAAAATTAATAATACCTTAGATTATATATTAGAGAATCTTAATGTAAGATTCTAAAAGTAAAAAGTTTAATATGATATAAGTTGAACTACTTCATATATGATTCATTATTTTCTTTAATTTATTATGAATTAATATTAATATAACAACAAACTATATATAACTACAAACTAGTTTCAAATTAGATTGGTGTTTACTTTAAATTGCCAAAATTGGCAATTTAAATTAAACACTAACATTTGAAGTAGTGAAACAAGTATAAATTGGATTATTAAATAACTCTCTTTATAAAGAAGAATTCATAATCTTTTAAATATTTTATAGATAATGAATTCAGGAAAATTCAATAATGATTTTGTTATATTAAACATGAAGAAATTATATTTTATATAAAGTAAAGATTTATTATATATACAAATAAAAATGTTGAAATATGACATAAAAGTGAACAACTAGGAAAAAGAAATTCTTTAGTGATAAAATAAAAATTAAAAACAAATTAGAAAATAAATTCAAAATACATCACTATGAACCTTATGCAAAGAACAAGTGATTAACAATTGTTTTGGAAATCAAGTTGTTTGATGTGATTATCAAAATAAATTTATAATTTTTTAGTAATTATATAATTAGTTTTCTTTTTTAAATAATAAGTTATAAATTTATATTAAAAGGAAAGAAAAATAATTATAGAGAAAAAATATAATATTTGAATCTTCACAAAAGGTTATATTTGAATCTACTAATATTGTTGAATTTGCAATGTATCATTTAATACATATAAAGTTTTTCCCCAAGAATGATTCCATCTAAAATTCCACTGAGGATAATATATTTTGGCATTTCGAATAAAGAAAGTATTTATAATTTTATACGTTAAGACCATAAAGAAACATAAACCTAAGGTTTAGGTATAAAAGAATATGCTTTAGGTTGATGGCACAAGAAGAAGGGCGGCCATTCCTGGAGCACTTGGAGTCCTACCTCGCGCGCAGGGATGGAGTGGACAAGCTGCTCAAGATCGCCCGCTACGCCGCCAAGATTGCCGTCGCCGCGCAGCCATCGCCGCTGCCTGATGGGGCTCTCGATCGGCTGCGCCTGTTTGAGGCAAGCGTTGGGACAAGCCGCAAGGCATTCCGGCTGGGCAAATTCGTCCAGGACGTGAATGCGCTCCTCAGGGCTAGCAAATCGCCGCACAGGGACCGCCAGCGCTGGATCCTGGAGCTCATCGCCTATGGCGGCGAGGGATTGTACTACTTCGTGGAACAATTTGTCTGGCTGGTGAGTTGGCATTTCCTAGGATTGGAATGAAAGAAACTCTCTTCGTTTCTCTCTCCCTTTTCTTCCTTGGCAGGCTAAGACCGGGCTGATCGACAAGCACCACTCCAAGAAGCTCCAGAAGATCAGCGCCTGGACGGAATTCGTGGGCTACTTTGGGAGCGTGATCCTCAAGTACCAGGAAATCTCCGCCATGATCGCGAGGGAGAAGGCGCTGACCGACGCTCATCGCCGCCACAAGAGAGAAGACGCTGCTTCCAGGGAAGAGATTGTTTCTCTCAAGTCGCAGATCCAATCGCTCCATAGCAAGAGGCTCCTCAAGACGCTCTCGCTGATCCAGGATTTCGCCGATTCCCTGCTTGCCCTCAGCGACATTCGAGATGGGCGAGGGGTGCTCTCGGCGCCATTGCTGCTCGCATCCGCCGGCCTCGTCTCCGCGACCATCAGCGCGCACAAAAACTGGAATAGCTGCTAATAAATTTGCTAGAACCCTAATAACAGAGCTTGCATTTTTAGGGCTCTTGGAAATATTTGCTAAAGCCCTAATAACAGGGGTTCTTGGATGACCATCTTTTTCTCCCCAAGATGTCTTTTCCTCTTGTGGTCATGGTGGCTGGGTATGCTATTTTTCTGGTACTTTGTGCTTGGTTTTTTACCTTGAATCCCTTGCAGCATAGCGCGGCTGCCATTGAGGAGAAGATGTATGTGGTGGGAGGATGCTGCAGGGACCGATACTTGAACGATGTGCTGGTGAGAACTTAAGTAGCGTGGATCTTTCTCAAGTTCTTAGTAACACTCTCGTGGAGGTTTTGGATTTGGGAAGCTTGAAGTGGTCAACAGCCCAACCTTGTCCTGTGTCGTGTGCCGGCCATTGCCTGGTAAGTTGAGGCTATTCAGTTTCTAGCGGGCTTTGCTTAAACATGGTCGACGCTTTGCAGTAGCAAGTGGAAGAACGCTCTTTCTCGTTGTTGGCATTCCGTCTGATGAAAAGATGCGCGGTACTGTGTGGTTCTTGCCACTCTGATCGGGAGCAAATATGGGTTTATGGCTGTGTGGACTTTCAGGCCCTCAGGTACATTCACTCGATCTGGAAAGCAAGCAGTGGGAGCTGGTTAACGCAAGGTACGCAGATCCAATACAAAGATCGCAATTCCATACCTCCATGTGGCAGTGGCTCCATCCCACCACCGCTTGCTTTCCATGCTGCGGTGCAGAAAGGTGATAATCTGTACCTTTTTTGGAGCTGGTTCATCTGGCTTTTGCAAGAACCTATACGCACTGAATCTCGTAAATGTAAGCACGGAGTCTTAAATGTTATATAGCTTTGATCGAGTGGCCCAAAATGTTTGCAGCGTCAATGGTCCTGGTATCCAGATCAAGGTCCCACCCTCGTACCTGCGGCGCGTTTTGCAACTGCCGACACAGGAGACGAGTGCTATCTTGTTGGTGGTAAGTTCAATTCTTTGTGCTCTGATTACCTCGTATATCTATCTATACACTAGGTGCTACGAAAGAAACCATGCTACTGAACATGGAGTCTTTGAAGTGGACCGTAGTGTGTGCTGAACCTCGTTTGGCTACTGACGTAAGTGCTTCAGTTTCTTTTGTTGCTGCAGAAGAATACTTATTTAACATGTAGAGCCTGAGGGGCGCTTTAGGGTAATCCGGTACGCGTTTTATGTGTTGGTCGCTCACCCGACTGATCCTCTGCACTTCTTATGAAGTTTAGCGTCTTTCTACTCAAGACTATGAAGTCATATCCGGTGCCAGGTCAGGGGCATAGACGGGTCACTTCTGGCGCTGTTTGATATTCCAGACGCGGGGGAGCAGGCTCTTGAGATTACAGACAGGGCTTGGAGGAAGGTGGGGGACAAAGGCTGCTTGGTGAGGGACGGTCGTCCTCTGGAACGTAACTCTGCCATCTTTCCCAGAGACGATTTAACATTCCACCGGAATGACTCTGCTGGAGTGACTAGCAGTCATCGCAACAGGACGTGTGAGGTCCATCGCATGACACTTGAAGACTGTAAGCTCCTCCTCCCCCGGGTGAAGATCGAGCTCATGAGAGGGGAAGGGTGGCTAAAACCACGGGAGGAAATCGAGAGCGAAGCCTTCGCAGGGTGGGTAGCAGGGACACGGTGAAGTACCTGGAGGAGCGTGCCAAAGTTGGCGATCTTTTCAGGCTGCCGCATGTAGCTGACGGCGAGCACAGTTGTGCAGGACATATCGAGCTCGACCGCAGGTGAGGAGTTCCCTACACCCTCCGCTTCGCGCTGGACGTGATGCTCGTGTACAAGTGTGTTGTCGAGGACATCATCGTGGGCTACTATACCAAAGAAGAGATTAACGAGCTGCACATATGGAGGGCGGGAGTGAACATCAAATGCCGGGGCACAAGGATTAATAGCTCAATTGAAAGAGGAAGAAAAAATGGGTTAGGTTTCTTACTACTCTCTCGCATTTTTAGGGTTCTTAATAAAAGCCCAGGGCTCTTGGATGCCCACAGTGAATGAGATGGGAGGAGCTCGATGGAACTGTGAAGCTGCTACGCCAGTGTGCCGCTGCCAAGGATCGAATCAATGGAAGGCAGCTCCATCGGATGCTCGTGGAATCCGGCCAGGATTCCCTCACCTTGATTGGGAATTTGCTTGTCAAAATGTATGGCGATTGCGGGCTCGTGGGCGATGCGTGGGCGGCGTTCCAGAGAATTGCGAGCAGGAACGTCTTCTCGTGGAACATCCTGATGGCCGCGAGCGCCGATGGGGGCGAGACGAGCCTCGCGCGAGAGGTTTTCAATCGGATGCCCAGCTCGGACATTGTGTCGTGGAATGCGATCATTGGCATCCTCGCGCGCGCCCGGGAGATTGAGAATCTCGCCGCGATCTTCTTGGCGATGCCGGAGAGGGATGTTTGCAGCTGGAATTCGTTTATTTCAGCAAATGCCCAAACTGGGCATCTTAATCAAGCAATCCTCGCCTTTCTAAAGATGCCCAAAACGCAATCCATTACATGGAACGCCATCGTTAGCGCGTATGGAGACCACAAAAGAATCCTTGAAGCGAAAGTTATGTTTGATCGGATGGTGGAAAGAGACGCCACGTCATGGAACGCAATCGTCGGCGCACATGCCATGAACGGTGATCTGGAGCGCGCGGGAGATCTGATCCAACGGATGCCGCAAAACACACTGTGCTCGTCCAACGCGCTCCTCACGGCCCACTGCCTGAGGGGACGATTGGAAGAGGCTAGGGTTTTGCTCCTGGATGGATCACGCCCCAGGAATCTCGTCGGCTGGAGCGCCGTAATCGGAGGCTACGCGCAGGCAGGGTGCGGCGCTGAATCGCTCCAGCTCTTCCGCGCCATGGATCTCGACGGCGTCCAGCCGGACAACATCACATTCATCAGCGTCGCCTGCGCGATCGCGAGCATTCCATCGATCGCCCAGGCCCGGCTCTTGCTCGGGATCATCCGGGATCACGGATTACCCGAGGACACTCCCCTGGGCACGAATCTCATCAACATGTTTGCCAAGTGTGGGGATTTGGAAGCCGCGAGGAGGGTCTTCGAGGAGATGCCGGTGAGAGACATCGTCGCCTGGAATTCTATGCTTACTGCGTATGCCCAGGCCGGGCGAGTTGATCAATCACTGGAGCTCTTTTACTCCATGATCGCGCAGGGGATTTTGCCCGTGCTCGTCTCCTTCGTGAGCATTCTCTCGTGCTGCAGCCACGCAGGGTTGCTGTGGAGATCTCTCGAGTTCTTCCATGGAATGAGTGGGGATTTCGAACTGGCACCGGGGTTTGAGCACTTCCGGTGTATGATCGATGTGTTGGGCAGGGCCGGGCATCTGGGAAGTGCCGAGGATTTGATCCAGAGCATGCCATTTGAGCCAGATGGGGTGATCTGGAACACGCTGCTGGGTGCGTGTAGGAACTACAGGGATGTAGAGCGTGCGGAGCGTATTGCGTTGGAGATAGTTCGGCTGGATCCGGAGCTTCTCTCGTCTTATGCTCTTCTCTCAGGCACATATGTAAACATGGATGTTCATTTCCTATACTTTAGTAGGTTTCAAGACTAGGTTGCACCCAAATTTAACTCAAAGCAGCCAGCAATTCATTCAAGATTGCCACAGCAAGAAAGGAAGGTAGGCTTGTGGGAATTTGTATCCTAAGCTCATGGATTTCCAAATTTTCAAAGGCCAAGGTTAATGGAAGAACTAATGACATTACAGAAAGGCTTGCATTTATCAACTGGAAATAAGAAAATGAATAATAGGTGCAGCAAATTATTTACTATTAGTACATACTATTAAGTATTGTGTAATAATTTAAATTGTCGTTTTCAACTTTTATATAAGAATCCACTATGCATTGTTATGTGAGTTTGCCTGCATGTAAAATTTTTTCATACCAGCATCAAAATGTAAAAGTAAATTTGTCTCACAGTTTGAATTGAATGGGTTTTTCTTTCTTAAATCTGTGGCTTCTAGGGTGTAAGCATATAAAGTTGTTCATAAGTTTAATATTGACCTTCAGAAGGATGTGCTAACACAATATTAGATTTTAAAACAATAAATATCATGAATATCAAGACATGAATACAAAAGCAAGAGCACTCTTGTAGTATTTGAATATTGGTTCTACTTATAGTTTTTATATTTCTTGTAAAGTGAAAGTAAATCAAATGCTGAAGGTAAAATTGGAGGTAATATAGCTTGGTTTTTCTGGCAACAATAACAAAAAGTACAAACTACCAATATTAAATTTTATTATATTAAAGTCATTGTAAATGTTATGGTTTGCTAGTGTGGTATTCATTGGGTGAGAATGATTCATTTAGTGTTGCTTGATGTATATAATTCTTTTAATGAGATGCATGTCAGTTTTCATATGCTTTTAAATTTCCAATTGATTGGTGTATTATCATGGTTATGATGATAATTATTATTTTAAACAGCTATAGTATCGGTTTCATTAGAGGCATTTATATTTCCATTAGATTGGTTAGTATGTTGTATTGAGGAGGCAAGTCCTTTTTAATCAATTTGATTAGAATTATAGTTTATATTATAATTGAGTTTGTTTGAAAGTTTTTATATTGGAGAAAAAAAAAAGATTATGTGACCCAAAGAATTAAAGCCTCATTACTTTTATTATGAAAATAAATATAAACATACACAAACATTCTGAACTTCTCCACAAATATACAAATTATCCAATCTAAGAAGTCTTGACTGATCTGATGTGATAATTCCAATATGAAATACTCGACAAAAATAAACAAAGCCTGACAATTCCACTATGAAAAGTTCGACAAAAATTATGCAGAAGCGCAATAAAAATTTAAACACATTGTCACTGAAAACCCCTGAGATGATAGTACAGGTGGTCTCCCTGCTGGATAAGATCAAGGCCACCTGCCTGCAAGATTAAAGTTTCTATAAATCCAAGGCGGCAAAAGCACCAATGCATTTCTAGCGTTTGAATGCAAACTCAATTTGCATCCTATAACCACAGACAAACTCGTCTCCCACACTGGGAGGCCGCTCAAGACCATATCCAACCGGATGAAAGCTTGCAACCTTTGCCACGCCATCCTTATCGACGAAGTTAAAAACAAGCGGCCCTTTTGCTGGAGCCGAGATTTCCTCCTCCACATTTTCCATTCCCCACAAAGGGTACGGAACACTAAAGCTCCTTGTTTCTTTGCTGTAGTCGTAATGGTCTAGAAACTTGTCCAAGCCTTGTAAGAGCCTGGCAACTTTAAGCACCCGACTTTCATCGCCAAATCCCATCATGTCTATTGCTGGTGCTACCTGTAAGCTTACCATGTCCGTGAACGGCTCCACCTCCACGCGATTTGTGGCTTGATCCCACACATAACCTTGCAGAGCACAGCACTTGTAAATTCAGGTTCCCATGAGTGAAAGATTGGCTTACCACTTATCTGTAGATAAGTACCACAAAGCACGAGGAAGAGTCCATACAGCGACCTGTCAACTCTCAAGATATCAACATGTTCCCGGACGAACTCCAGCGCCTTGGAGAAGCAAACACTAGGGAGGCGATTAATTTCCACCATCAAAGGGATCATGTTGCGCTCCATGACCAAGCCATGGCCCTCGGTGCTGAATACGCTGTTGGATCGGAAACATTTGGAGAGCACCCGGTGCACTTCGTCCTCGTGGTCGTCGCCGTCGTCATCAAAGCACACGCACTTGAGCTCAAACGCCGCTCTCACCGCTTTCTCGCTCGGCACCTCATTCACACCTCTCCAAAACAGATCGAAGCCACGGTGGCGTAGCGCAACTGGAAGCCTCGTCATTTGTGAACCCTAGCTAGGGTTATGGAGAGGACTAGAGGTGACGAGCGATATGTCAGGTATTTCCTGCAGGGACTGACGAGAAGTGGGGCGATACAGTATGCCAAGGATACCTTCTTGAAGCTTCAGCAAAATCCATCCGCATCGTGCAGCCGGCGGAAGTGGGCTCAGTTTACCAACCCTCAGTTCTACTGTTACCGGGGTCCCGTGGAGGCCAGTCCCGAGATCCCCGTCAAGCTACGCCATCCCAGTTTTGCGCAGCTGCGAGAAGCTATGGAGATTACGCCAGACGAGGAGGACATCTCCATGGAAAGCTTTTTGTGGTCTCAAGTTTCAGCGGGCTTTGAGAACGACGACGACATGAAGGAGAAGCTAGTGCACAGGCTGGATCGGTATCTAGGCGAACGCATTCACAGGGAGATCCGGCTAGAAAATTGCTCTTGCGATGGGATCATCATAAGTAGGAAGGAGCCAAGGATTCTCTTCAGGTTCAAGAGCGAACTGGGAGCTGGAGATCCCTGCTTCGAGGTGCTCGGCTACATTCGAAACTGGGTCTCCCAAGAAACCAAGGCTGGAAGAAAAGCCTCCTTCTACGGTCTGTGCATTTCCGTAGTTTGCCCATACATCCAGGTGGCAGGCTACGTTTATGACTCCGCGAGTGACACCATCGAGATGGAGCCATTGACAGACATTGTATGCGTTTATGGCCCACGACAGAACAGGGGAAGGGTGGCCAAACTCTTGCATGGGATCAAGGAATTCCTCCGCTTGGATCTGGCGACAGGAGGACCAGTGAATCTACCGTATCTGTTGTGGAATTACAAGAATGTCCAAGTGGTGGATGCGGAGAGTCTGGTCTTCAAGTTTGAAGACCATCATGGGTGCAGGAAGATTGCAAAGTTTGTTGTGTATAACTCTTATGGCATAGAGGCACACCATGCCTGGGCAGCTAATGGCATGGCACCTGCTCTTACAGAGCTGAAAGCTGCCACGCCACCTTTCTATATGGCTGTTATGGACTGCCTGGCTGAAGAGGATGGGTGGAGGTCATGTGTGGATCTGGTGCGTGATTGGAAGCTTAATAGTTCTATGGACAAGGTGGCAAAACTCCAAGACATTGTGAAACATAGAGTTCAGAAATGCCATGATGACGGGTTCGTGCATGGTGATTTACGATTAACTAATTTGATGTGCAAAGAAGAAGCTAATGGGAATTTGGAAGTGAAAGCATTGGATTTTGATTGGTCTGGTGAAAAGGGAAAAGCTATGTATCCAACGATATTGAACGACAAGATTAAATGGCACCCTGATGTCAAGTACCGTGCACTGATTCATGCTGAGCATGATTTGTGGTTTGTGGATCGCCTTGTGGAACAGCTTGATGAGCTCTTTATCTCAGACATGTAAAGTTTTAGGGTTCTTAATAACAGAGCCCAGATTTTTAGGGCTCTTGGATGTCTGCTTATTTTTATAATAAATAAACACTAGGAGCACGATGGAACTTACTACGCCAGTGTGCCGCTGCCAAGGATCGAATCAATGGAAGGGATGCTCATGGAATCCGGCCAGGATTCCCCCACCTTGATTGGGAATTTGCTTGTCAAAATGTATGGTGATTGTGGCGATGCGTGGGCAGCGTCCCAGCGAATCGCGAGCAGGAACGTCTTCTCGTGGAACATCCTGATGGCCGCGAGCGCCGACGGGGAAAATGAGAAGCCCGCCGCGATCTTCTTGGTGATGTCGGAGAGGGATGTTTGCAGCTGGAATTCCTTCGTCCCCGCAAATGCCCAAAGTGGGCATCGTGATAAAGCAATCCTCGCCTTTCTAAAGATGCCTAAAACGCAATCCACTACATGGAACGCCATCGTCAGCGCGTATGGAGACAACAAAAGAATTCCTGAAGCGAAAGCTATGCTCGATCGAATGGTGAAAGAGACGCCACGTCATGGAACGCAATCGTCGCCGCACATGCCATGAACGGTGATCTGGAGCGCGCGAGAGATCTGATCCAACGGATGCCGCAACACACACTGTGCTCGTCCAACGCGCTCCTCACGGCGCCTGAGGGGACGATTGGAAGAGGCTAGGGTTTTGCTCCTGGATGGATCGCGCCCCAGGAATCTCTTCGGCTGGAGCGCCGTAATCGGAGGCTACGTGCAGGCAGGGCGCGGCACTGAATCGCTCCAGCTCTTCCGCGCCATGGATCTCGACGGCGTCCAGCCGGACAACATCACATTCATCAGCGTCGCCTGCGCGATCGCGAGCACTCCATCGATCGCCCAGGCCCGGCTCTTGCTCGGGATCATCCGGGATCACGGATTACCCGAGGACACTCCCCTGGGCACAAATTTTTTTTTTACTAATTTGTCAACTTACCTCACTTTAAACCACCTTTAACTTTGTTATAGTTAAATTTTGTAGAGCGTGCGGAGCGTATTGCGTAGATTCTCTCGTCCTATGTTCTTCTCTCAGGCACATATATAAACATGGATGTTGATTTTCTATACTTTGGTAGTTTTCAAAACTAGGATTGCACCCGCAAGAAAGGAAGCTAGGCTTGTGGCTCTATCTGGAATTTGTTTCCTAGCTCAAAATTTCAAAGGCCAAGGTTAATGGATGCTATTTTATCAACTGAAAATAAGACAATGAATAAGCATTTAAACCATGTTGCTGTTATACAATAAGTGTTGTATACTAATCAAATTGTTGCTTTAGACTATGTATTGTTATGTGAGTTTGCTTACATGTAAAATTTGATCAAAACAGAACTGTATTGTGTCTCCCAACTCTCTTCTCTAGTTTTTGTAAGTCTAACCAAGCGTGCCAACTCTCTGCCACATCTGGATACTCAGCTGTTTTGACTTCCAACAGCTGTAGAATCTTTCGTGGTCGACGACACTTCATTCGACCACCTGATGGGCAACTTGAGCAGAATTCCCCTCGATCGCAAGGGAGTTTGCTGCCACACTCTTGAAGTTACTACTCGCAGCTCTCAGGATGCGCCATTGCTTGAGGTGTTTGCTCCTTCTCTCGCCTCTAGAAACAGGGATTTGCTGAAAGGAGAGTGCTAAAGGAACTCCAAGATCTTGGATATACCCGATAGTTCCAACACCCTACGAAGAAAAGAAGGAAGAAAAAAAGGAATCGAGCAAAGAATACAAGAATGGTGGTGATAAAAATGAAATGCGAGGGGAAGAAAGAAATGAGAGAGGCTGAGTCGTTGAGCGATGAAGACGAAAAAGAAAGAATGGGCTGTCACACAAGCGAATGTGTGGTAGTGTACAAAAAGTATGAAGTGGTGGTGTTGTTTTGCATTCCACTGTTTAGAAGAGTGACACACTCCTCTTAGTTTGCTTCTTTCAATCGAATCGATGAGCTATTTCTTGGTGTAATCCTTGAGCCCCTGCCGGAGAGCTTCCAGGTTGACGCCCTCGTCCACAAGAATGCTTGTGACGCCCATTTGTGAAACCTTGAACAAAGAAAAGTTTTAGAGAACGAAACGAAAAGAAGGTTTTTGCTCACTGCTTTTATGTTGCGTTGCTCGTCATCGAAGAAGAGCATGTCCTTGAAAGGCGTGCTGGACTTTTGATGGATCTTTTGGAAGTGCTCGGTCTTGTGGCTCCAGCTCGGGTAGATTTCCTAGAGATAATTGCTGTGGAAGATGGAAGGAACGAGAAAAATACCTTGGGGAAGAAGAGAGTAGCGAGGTTGAGCTTGGATAGAAAGGCGGTGGCAATGTCGGGTGTGGGAGTTCTCGACGCCACAGCCATGGCGACGCCCTTCTCCTGGAGCGCGCTGAGAATCCCGGTCACCTGGGGATAGAGCCGCGGATTATCTCGCTTTGACATGCATTCGCTGGAGAGAAATCAAAATCGACCGAGAAATCTTGAGGAAGGGAGAGAAAGAGAGGCGCTCAGTCGCTCAATCGCTCACTCACTCACCACCAGAAGGGCCACAGTGTGTAGTCGAGATCGAAGACAACGAGGCGGGGGAGGCGCTCGGCGCTTGCCAGGAGCTCCAATGCCTGGGCTTTGACGGCATCGCTGCTGGTGCTCATCCTCGCCGGTGCCCTAGGTCCCGCTGGCCTCTGCGCGCACGCGTGAGGAAGAACTAGATCGCGCTGGCGTAGCATGAAGCCAAAATGCGAAGCCCTAAAAACAGAACTGTTAATACTTAGGGGGGTTTCGCACCCACCATTAAATTAGTAAATTTAATGGTAATTCGTTCACACCACCACACTATTATATTAGATTTTGTAAACTCTAATTTAATAGATAATTTAATGGTAACTTGTTCACACCAGAAATAAACATTAAAGTAAGCTAATGTTACAATTAGCATTTCTTTCACATTTTTCGCTAAAATCCTAATGCTACACTTTTGTAGCATTAGGATTAAATTATTCCACGAATATTCTATAGGGCAATGTTAGATCCGTGCTGCTGCTGCTTCTTCATGCGCACAACTCTCCGAACGCCACCTCTTCCTCCTCCCTTGGTTGCTTCCATGACACACCCATTCCGCTGCCCCCACTGGAGAAGCCCACTGGGCTTGTTGGGGCTCTTGCACTTGTGCCCAACGCCACATTCCAGAGCACTTGCCTCCCCGTTGCTCTGCTCTGCCATGCCACTCGACGCCATTACCGCCGCCAGGCTGGGGGACGAGGCCATTGCCGCTGCTGTGGAAGCTCCTCCTATCGTTGTCATTGCTGCCGCCTCCTCCACTGCCACTTTTTGAGGAGGGAGGGGGGAGATGGAGGAGCTAGTGCAAAGAGGGTGAGGGAGATTGATGGGGGTGGCTGGTGCCAAGATCTTCGTGATTGTTGCCGCCTTTTGCACTGCTGCATGTTATAAGGTATAACTTAATAGCTGGTGTGAACAGAGCATCATTAAATTAGCTAATTTAATGGGAGTGTGAACCAGTTAACATTATCCAAAGTTTTTATCACCCAAAATGACTAATAACTACTAATGCTATTATTAACAAATATTGGTGTGAAAAGAATAACATTAAAATTTTAAATTAGGCTAAAATCCTCTGATGTAAAAGCCCTAAATTAATGGTGGGTGCGAAAACCCCCTTAGAATATAATTCCAGTTTACTAATGTCCTATATCATTGTTGTGCTATGTCATCCATGTTTTCCCAATCTTGGACCTCAATGTCTTTTTTCCATGCTCTAAGCGTTGTAAGGGAATCTTGCAACCTCACCACACAATCAAAATCCCATTGATTTCTCACTAAAACTGCCACTGAGAAATGTGTAATGAGTATATCCATATCCAGGAGTATGCCCAAAATTGTACCCCACTCCAGCATGGAAGGATTGCCTAGGCTCCAATGTAACAAGAACCCAAAGCTTGTAACTGAAAAAGAATGGCTAAATCTCACACATAGATAGATAGATTGATGAAAATTGAAATGATAAAGAGAAAATAGAAAACGAAAGTAGAGATAAATAAGAATAAAGTGTGGAGTTTAAAAACACAAGAAGAGAAAAATTGGAATCTAAACTAAAAAAAAAAAAAAGGAAAAAGGAAGAGATGATAAGACCTAAAGAAAAGAGTCTAAAATTTGGATTTTGGCCTCAAAAACATGTATAACATTGTGTTGTCAACAATATTGAATAAAAGGTGGTGGATCATCTATGTTAGAAACTGTTTCTCACTAAGAAAGGTGGAATGGGATAGACTTGGATGTTTCTTTGCAAAAGCCTTAATCATCCATTAGCAGTCTCATCTTGTTGCTAAGTTGATATTATTGTATTGATCTAGTTGTAGTTTAGTAGTTTAATCCTTAGTACCATAGCAAGTTAATAACTAGTTTTTATAGATGGGTATGGGTAAGTTATAGTATTTCAAAATATCATTTTAAAATCTATGACTATAAAAAGGAAGAAATAATAAAGGGTATAATTATATGATGAAGAAGTCTTAAATGTCAATAGGACTTAGTGGATAGGCTTTTATGCGCTAACTCAATAGTGGTATTAACATGCACTACTATGATTAAAGAGGGGCTTGATGGGATTGGAAAAAGGATATTAGAGGATTCTAGATCCTAGGGCTTCTTTAGAAATTGTCATAAAGAGATCATTTATGAAAGGATAGTTTTATCGTGGAAAGATAAATTTGTGATATGAGTGGTTTTGAATTATTAACAAGATTGTGAGAAGAGACGTGGCCTTAATGTAAGAGGTTGATATATTAGTGGTACTTTTGGATGTCGGAAGTGGGACTTAGAAATATGAAGCACTTGGACTAACTTTAATAACAATATGGCTTTAGGCCATCTTTAAGTTAAAATGAGGACTTATAGAGGTTGTGAGTGAGGCTTCCAAAGGCATAGTTAAGTGATTAAAGTAAAATAGAAAATTTAATCTTTTACATTCAGTATCAAATAAGTCTTATGATTTCTAAAATGAAGCATGTCGATGTTGCTATAACTCTTTTAAGAGTCTTGCTCTCTTGAAACCTTACCCCTCAAGTAAATTAGACTACCAAATATCAATCTTAATATGTGATGTGATTTTCCTAAAGCAACTAATAATATCTTTGAGTTGAAGTAGTACTAGGTTAAGTGACTTTCCGTAAACTTTAAATTTAAGAGTTTACATTTGGTATATCAAGTCTAAAGACAACTTGTGTTTTTGACTATTGATATTGTTCAGCATTAGATTCTTGATTCTCTTTAGCATACTATACTAAAGAGTTGCCAACTGGACCCAATCCATATAAGCTCCTTTATTGCATCATGAATAAGGAGATTTTACTTCACAAATCCATTCATGCACTAGGACATTTAAACCTTAAATATCTCAAGACTTGTGTGCTTTTGTTCATAAGTTTTTTCCCTTTATATTTAGACCTTATTAGATTAATTTTCAAGTTATTCTCTTTAATTGCTTACACTCCATTGGTTTGAAGGGGCACAAAGTCTAACTTGGAGACACATTAGATATAAAGAATAACTTAGCTAAGATATATGAGTTAAGTGGGATAAGATAGGAGTTGAAGTTGGTATGTCTATCTGGGAAGCTATAGACCATAAATATTTGACAGTATGGCAAGCAACATAAGTACAAGCACTTTGGGAGGCACACAATCATCATCACTTTGACAAACAATAAATGATGGTTTCAACTTTGTGGCTACATAGTGAAGACTTACTCTAGTAGCTATATTCCTTCACTATGATATTTTGAAAGAATGGGAAAAACTTATTTGGCTAAAAGAATGGTAGAGCTGGTTGACTCCCATATTTTAGTAAGATGGTTGAAAATGAGGTACACTAGTAGTCAATCAATTGGAGGGGGGGAAGGGGATTTAGACATTGATGTGATTTATAAAATATGTTCATATTTGCTTTTACTTCAAAACTATATGAGACACAAAGTAGAGTAACTTGATGAGAGGGTGGCATGCTTGATTTTTATGTTAATCCTCTTGGGACATTGGGAAATATATATATACATTTATTAAAGAGATCTTGAGTCTAGCTTTATTAGTTAGTTAGGGGAATCATATCATATGTTTAGGTTAATATATAATTTACTTCTGCTAGGCTAAACCTGAGGGGTACAGTATAGAGATTAGGGCTCTTAGGAGAGTTATAACTCTTAGCTTTTATCACGAGGGTATGAATTTATAGGGCAGTATGGTGGATTCAAGAAAATAATAAAAAAATTTATTAAAGTTCAATATAAATACAAAGGGCCCATGAATAAGAGTGCACCCTTTTTTCAACCGATTAAAGGTTTTGGGTTAAATATACTTGAGTTTAAATAGTATTGAGCTAAGTTATAGTAAATTTAAGAGTTTACACCTCCATCAAAGCAAAACCATTTACTATATAATGTGAAATTGGAATAATATCTTTTAAGTGGGAGATTTAAAATCTTATTATTGTGCTAGCTAAAGAGCATCATCAAGGGTTGCTAAAACAAATGCATGCACAAGCCCTATAAAATTTTGACAAAGTGCTAACCATAACATGCTTATTTAATTTGTTTTAACATATTTGACTCCACATAAAGTAAAAGGTTTTGGAAGTAAATTTTAAATTTGATAATATGGAAATAAGAAGGTATTTCCTATTATAAAGTAAGAGGTTATATGATATGGGAATCCATGCTTGAAGACGTCTAAAAGAAAGCTCTAATTTGCATAAATGGTAGCATTAAACATTATACCATTGTAATGCCATCCCTTGAAGACAAATAGGAAATTTGTGTAAACATTAGGTATCATCTCATGAATGATAGATGTTAAGTATTATGAAGTGATTAAACCAATAGTACACATTATATTTAGGATTCCCATAGAAAAAATTTAGTCAAACATGAGGATTAATTAAAGAAACTAAACTATGTGTTGTGAATGTTGTTATCAATTACGTTTGATTGTTCAACTACATTTGTAATGCATTAAGCAACCACACCAACTACTACTTTACAAAGGAGGTAGCTCTTGCAAAGGAAGTGGCAACTACTACAAAGGAGGTAATAGTTGCCCATCCATAGGTGCCAAAGAAAAGAAGAAAGAGAAGGCAATTCTAAATGGCCTATAGCCTCATGTTTTATAAAAAGAAGGATGGACTTAAGGAAATGGCTTCAGGGCCTCATGCTATCTAGGAATATAAAATTAATAAATGGCATGTGGCCTCATGTCATCTGAAACATTCTTAATAAATAACTAGTATGTAGCCTCATGCCATCTTAAATATTCCTAGGATTTCCACAACAATGATGGTCTAGACAATAATAAAGCTAAATCTGGGAGAAAAAAAGCAAACAAAAGGCACAAATCTAGGCACTTCTTAGGGACACTTAAAGTTGCTACTCACCTCCATGAATAGAATAAAAAAATACATATATATCTATATTAGCTTAAAACCTATATGAGCAAGTGGTCCAGATTAAATCCAATCTGGTGGCTATTAAAATACCACTATATTAATAATAGTATATGGCATTTACTTAGACCTCTTAATTATAAATTTTATAAAATTATTTGTATATATTTTTATTTTTATTTTATTTAAATTATAAAATTAGTTAAGCATAAGTGATACTCAATTTATACATTTATGTTTATTTTTATTAAATAATAATCTATAAATTTACTTAAAATACATATAATTTTTTACTCTAAATAACTTTTAATATATATATATATTTAGGAGTTTAATTAAGACATAAATGATGGTTTTGTCATAAAGATTTATGTGGAAACTTTGTTGTATATAATACAAGGTTACAGTCATTTTGAAGACTTAAAAATGTACTTATAATACAAAAGGATTTTTTGTTACAAATAAAGTTTTTTGACCATTCAACTTTTTTATGATTGCCATATAAAAATAAAAGTCCATCTATTTGTAGTTTAAGATAGCAATAATATATATATATGGTTTATTTGTTTTACTATCCCAAATCATATTTTCTCCTGAAAATAAAACAAGATTACAGTTTGAGTTTAAGAATAATATATGTTTTCCATTTGGTGAAATTAAAAATTCACTATAGAACAATATTGAACTATGCATACCACCTTGAACAGTCATTTTAGATATATCACAATCTTCAAATGATAATAGTAAATTTGGATTTTTAGAATAAGATTTTGTGACTATAACTGATTTCAAGATTTCTCACTGTAACTCCGAAGTAATTTGCTGTTGCCCATAGCATAGAAGGTAAGTCTTAATTAGTCTTTCTATTCTTTGATAAATAGATTTTGAAGTTGCAAAATTTGGACTCCCACTAGAAATACAATTTGGTGGATTTCCATCAAATCTTGCAACTCTTACAATAACTGTTCCTACTGATATGGCATGTGTTATTTCATCTGACCAATCACTAGGATAATCACCTGTAAGAGGTCTAATGAGCTACCAAATGCTTGCAATTATCATCTCTATATCATTATCACTTACTTCATAAAAATCTCCATATTGAACACTCCTGCCATAAACTTTAAAAATTATTAACACAGTAGAGAAACTTAAGTCTTAAAACCATTTCTACATATTTACATGTTTTCTTCCTGATTTTATATACAAATTGAAAGCAATATTTTTACAGGTGGAATACATATAGATGATAAAAAAATACTTAGAGTGCAAGAAATGTTACAATGACAAACTATGCTGTATTAACAATCTTAGGACAAACTATGCTATGCTAACTATCTTTGGTCACTTTTGCCATATATTTATTGTCACTAATGGAGAAACTAAAACCCAAGCTTTCTTAAATACGAAGTATTAACAATCTTAACACTGAACCCACGCCTCATTTTCCTCGATCTCGACTTGGCCCTTCGTGAGTGGTTTCTCGGTCGATTTTGATTTCTCTCCAGCGAATGCATGTCAAAGCGAGGCTCGATATTCTCACCGCGCAGGGCGTCGCCATGGCTGTGGCGTTGAGAACTCCCACACCCGACATTGCGACTGCCTTTCTATCCAAGCTCAACCTCGCTACTCTCTTCTTCCCCTAGCGTTCCTTCCATCTTCCATAGCAATTTCTTCTTCTTTCCAGGAAACCTACCCGAGCTGGAGCCACAAAACCGAGCACTTCCAAAAGATCCACCAAATGTCCAGCACGCCTTTCAAGGACATGCTGTTCTTCGATGACGAGCAACGCAACATAAGAGCAGTGAGCAAAAAACCTTCGTTCTCTAAAACTTTTCTTTGTTCAAGGTTTCACAAATGGGCGTCACAAGCATTCTTGTGGACGAGGGCGTCACCGGCAGGGGCTCAAGGATTAAAGAAATAGCTCATTGATTCGATTGAAAGAAGCAAACCAAGATTACAGGTAAGGAGAAATCTAAATGCATAGGCAGTAGGAGCGCATCTTGAGTGTCACTCTTCTAAACAGTGGAATGCAAAACAACTCCACCACTTCATACTTCGTGTACACTACCACCCATTCGCTTGTGGGAAAGCCCATTCTTTCTTCCTCGTCTTCATCGCTCGACGACTCAGCCTCATGAAATGACTCAGCCTCTCTCATTTCATATCTATTCTTGCATTCTTTGCTGGATTCCTTCTTTTCACACCCTCGCTTTTCACTTTCATCACCACCATTCTTGTATTCTTTGCTCGATTCCTTCTTTTCTTCCTGCTTTTCTTCGTAGGGTGTGTGAAGTTCCTCGACACCGACGCTAAGAAGTTCCTCTTTTATCTCATCTTCATCACCACCATTCTCTTTCGCATCGTATTCGTCGCTCAAATCCTTCGGTTCCTCGTCTCCCTCTTTTATATACTCGTCAGTGGTTTCGTCTTCATCGCTCGAATCGTCCTCTTCGTCTTCAATATCATCCTGTTCGTCACTATCGTTTTCATTCTCATCATCATCTTGGTTAGAATCCTCCTCTTCCTCATAATCTTCCCCATGGGATGGGGACGGGGACGGGGATATAGATATAGAAGAATCACTGGAATCCTCCTCCTGACTGCTCAAATATTCTTTCATATCATCCTGGAATCCTTCCCGCTGTTCCTCATCATCACCATCATCGCTCAAATTTTTCATATCATCCTGGAATCCTTCCTGCTGTTCCTCATCATCACCATCATCGCTCAAATTTTTCATTTCGTCCTGGAATCCTTCCTGCTGTTCCTCATCACTATCATCGCTCAAATTTTCCATACCATCCTGGAATCCTTCCCGCTGTTCCTCATCATCACCGCTCAAACTCGCTTTCATATAATCCTGGAATCCTTCCTGTTCTCGGCCCTCGTTCCCTAATCCTTCCTTTCCTTTTTCGCAGTACGCTTCATCATCTTGCTCCTCGTTGCGAGTATGATCGATCTTTTCCTGCTCCTCCACTTCGCTATATGCGTACTCGGGCGCCGGTATATCTATACCATCGAAAAACTTCTTCAAGACTTCCTCTTTCCCGGGGACAACATCGTCAACTTTCGGGTAAACTTGGGTATCCTCGGGCCAAACACTGCAGAAGTCCTTTCCCACGTCCTCAAAGGACGAATCATCGCTAGCATCCACAACAACAAACCCGTCATCGGCCATCTCTTCCTTTGGATTCGCCAACCCTATGAACCCTAAAGCTAGTCTCGCAATTATATACACAATAATAAAAAGGGGCTATCGGGTATATCCAAGATCTTGGAGTTCCTTTAGCACTCTCCTTTCGGCAAATCCCTGTTTCGAGAGAGTTAGATTCGCGAGAGAAGAAGCAAACACTATGGGACACCTCAAGCGATGGCGCATTGGACGGAAGATTTGCGGCGAGAACAACGCTATATCCCGTCCTGAGAGCTGCGAATTCGAGCAAAGAAAGAGATTGATTGGAATGGAAAAAAAGCATGAGAGGATCTACCCAGCCTGCGAGCAATGCCGCCTCCCGCGCTGTTGGCGCCACCGCCGCCGATCAAGGCGGATAAGCTCGGCATCTTGTCCTGGAAAGAAAGCAAACCATGGAGTGATCGAGGAGATCCAATGCCAATCCAGGGGCTAGACGTGCTAGAATCTACTCACGTATGGTGTGGAGATTGAGGCGAAGAGATGCCCCAGCCTGGCGGAGTTACATCCGATCCAGATATAAAGCTGCGAGAAAGAGAGGCGAGAAGGAATCGATCAAATCCGGGAAAATGCGAGGGAAAGAATCGATCGATCACCATTACCTGCTTGTCCAGGCAGAGGATCTGGAAATGGAAGCTCGCGTCGTGCGCCTCGTCGGAAAAGCAAGTGAGCCGCGGCGCTTCCATCGCAAAAGACCTTAGAAGTTAGAACCCTAGCAACAAGAACTCCAAGATTTCTAATAGGTGAAGGACGAATTTCCAAAGATGACAAATCCAAAACCACGCACACCCGCGTGAGAGAAGAATGTTGTTCTTGGAGGAGAAAGAAGAGTCCTCCTCTCCTCCCATAAATTAGAATCCCATCCCATCCCTTCCCTGCTATCCCAAAATCACGCAAACTTGGCGGCGCCCTGGTGGTGCTGCTGGTGCTGGTGGAGATCCAGCGGCACCATCTTGAGCCACTCCGCCAGCGCCGGCCCCTGCCCGACGAAGCACCCCACATTCAACCCATCCAGGTGGAACGGCGAGTTGAGCGATCGCAGCATCCCCTCCACCGCCTGCTTGACGAGCGACGCGCCGGGCACCCGGCTCCGCCGCCCCCACCCGGTGATGATGTCGATCCTGTACGGCGCCGCCCCCGTACGCACCACCGCCTCCGCGAACATCGCCAGCGTCCTGGCCAGCGCCACCAGCGCTGTGCCCGTGGACATGACGTGGAGGTTGATGGACCAGTACTGCGGCGCCTTCTCGCGCACCGCGTTGGGGTAGAGGTTCTTCTCCGCCGCCACCTCCCACACGCTGCCCGCCGCCACCGCCTTGCCCGCGCGGTGGAGGAAGTCGATGAGCGAGTCCGCGAAGCCGCGCCGGCTCTCCAGCTCCTCGAATTGCATCGCGTCGAAGAAGCAGCGGATGCCGACCACCATCTCCGCGGTACGCGTGCCGTACACAGCCCGAACGTCGGTCCCGTACGGGAGCCCGACGACCGTGCCGCCGGCGGTACCGCCCGAGGCTAGTAGCGAGCAGACGAACGGATGGGCCGGGTGGCCGGTCCCCCCCATGAGTCCGAACAGCGCGTCGTACTCCCAGGCCGCGCGGCACGCCGCACAGCTGCTCAGCAGCGACGTGTACGTCTGCAGCGTTGGGTAGAGCCCCCACTTGGCCATGCCGCCCAGCACGCCGCCGGCGGCGTCGTAGAAGCTGGAGCGCAGGTAGGCGCTGAGGAGTGAGTTGCAAGCCGGGACGTTTGGCTGGAGGCCCGAGTCGAGCATCCGGTTAAACCACTGTGCGGCCTTCTCGGCGTTGCCCGTCTTACCCCACATATCCACCATGAGCCCGAAGATCGGGTTGTCCGCCACCCAGCCGGCTCGCTCCATCTCCTCGAAAACTTGCTCCGCGTCCTCGATGTGGCCGCAGTTCCCGAGAACTTCCATGATGATCCCATACGTGACTCGGTCCGGAGCGTAGCCGACTTCCTGGAGATCCGAGTAGAGCTTGAGCGCCATGTCAAACTTGCCAGCTTTCGCGTGGAGGTCGATGATGATGTTGTAAGTCACCAGGCTGGGAGCGTAGCCGCGGTCAGTCATCTCGCAGAAGAGCTTGTAGGCCGCGTTGAGCTTCCCGGCCTTGCCGAGGCAGTGGATGATGATGCTGTAGGTGAAAGTGTCCGGCCGGAAGCCGGCGTGCTGCATCTGGCGGTAGAGCTCCATGGCCGCGTCGTGGAAGCCGGCCTTGGCCTGGAGATCGATGAGCGTGCAGTAAGTCACACGGTCCGGCTCGCAGCCAACCATCTGCATCACGTTGAAGAGCTTGAGCGACGAGTCGAGATCGTTGGCCCGGCCGTAGCAGTGGATGAGCCGGTTGTAAGTCACCACGTTTGGCTCGCAGCCTTCCCGGATCATCTCGTCGAGGAGATTGTTGAGAACGTCGAAGCTCTTTGCGCGGCCGAGGATGCCGAGAATGGTGGTGTAAGTGTGGACGTCGTGCTTGAAGCCGGCTTGCTTCCTGGCCCAGATGAAGAAGTTGTACGCCACCCCGGCCTCCTTTTGCTGCTTGAGGATCTCGTTCACCTGGTACGCGTTTAAGCTGGCGTTGAGTCCGGCTAGAGCTCGCACGGTCTCGTCTCCCCAGCCGTGCTGGTTTAGAATGCCGCAGACGCGGGCCACCAGGCGGTGGCTCTCGCTGCTGTTAGACCTGTTGTTCCTATGGTGGTGGTGGCCGTGTTTCGCCTGGCCACCGCTCTTCCTGTGAAAGTTGCTAGAGTTCGTCGACGGTGTAGTGCTGCTAGTTGCTGTTGATGATGTGTGAGTAGTGCTGCTAACTGTTGAATCGCTGTTGCGGCTTGTAGCTGCTGCTACTGCTACTGGTTTAGTCCGGGTGACTTCGGTGGAGCTTAGAGAAGAGTCCGAGGACGCTGCCGAGCTCGGCCTGGGGACGAAAGGTTCTGCGTTGCTAGCACTAGAGGCGGGAGTGAAACTTGGAGTAGTAGCAGCATCCTTGTGTAGCTCGGGGGCTGAAAATGCTGGAACTGTCTTTGCGGACTCGAAGGAAGTATCTCTCCGCAGCTCGGACGGCTGGAACGGGACCGGCTTCTCAAAGTCGTTGAGGTCTCCGAGGGAAGGAACGCTGCCAAAGACGGGGACTGCAGCCGGAGCTTCCACAGGCTCGCTGCTGAAAGTGCTAGAAAGTGTCTCGGATGCGTTCCTCGCAATCGCATCTTCCTGCTCGACACAGCTGGCCTTTGCAAGCGTTGAGCTCTTTGGCTCGTTGCTCGACGCCTGAGGCGAGGCCTTGGTAGTTTTCTTGACATCGCTACTCCCCGAGGACTTGTACTCCACGGAGTATCTCCCAACGCTTGCAAGTCCATCGGTTTGCCCGAGCTCAGGATATCCTCTAGCGTGATTCGGGCGTGGAAAGTTCTGGCGAAAGGCGGCGTCTCTTGGAGCAAACTTCTTTGTTGCCGACGGCTCGCTCGAATGCGTGTGTATGTCTTTGTTGGCGGAACGTCCATGCCTGTTATACGGTGGAGCTCTGTTCTCGTAGCCCCTGGAGTCGGGTGCCTCGTCTCTCCTGTTATCGTCACTGTTGCTAGCGTCTCCAGTGGCTTTCGGTCCATAGACAGTCCCAGCGACGAGCCAGTTCCTCGCGCCCTTGCACAAAGGTAATAACTTCGCCGAGCGCAGCATTATACGAATCGATAGTTCCAACTACACGAGAGTGATTCCTGCAAGGAAAAAAAGAACATGAGAAAAAAAAGTACTCTTTTTGGCGCATAAAATAAAGAAAAAAGATCTATTTGGAAACCACGCACCGAAAAGCGAGCATCACAAAAAGAAAGGAAGGAAAAAATCTAGCACTGTGACAGAGACTAGCAGTGGAAGAGGAAGAAAATATGGAAAAGAAAAGCAGCATTGCTTTACAAAAGAGAGCTACATTACGATCTCCCACGGGACAAAGCATAGAGCAAAAAGAAGAAACCAAAGAGCTTGGAAGAAAGAATAGCGAAGAAAATCCATGCAAGCATGCCGAAACTAGCGCGCAAATCCTTCACATTGTTTACACTGGCACGCAAAAGAAGACCTTGACCAGGCAGCGCAACAAGCTCGATCAAGGATCGTAGGAGCGATATTTCGAGGCGGCGATCACGCCAGAGCACAGCCGGAAGCAAAGCATACCTTGATCGATCGTTTAGGCCACCAGAAAAGCGCGCCGCGCGGCGCCGTGCGGCTCACCCAGGGCTGCACAGCACGACCCTCCCGCCGCCATCGCCGCCATCGCGCTTGGAATGCCGGGCGCTACTCGCCGCCGCCATCGACACCGCCGCCGCCGCCATGAGAGCGCGTGAAGGAGCGCTCCCCTTTCCCCGTTGAGCAGGAAAAGAGAAGAGTCTTTGGCTCCAAGGCAGCCGTACAATGCGTACGTGCCTATTAGGTCCCAAGCTCGCCGGAGAGAAAATATGGGCAGATGGCCCATCGCATCCACTGGGCCACGTTGCGCCAATAAGGCGCCGGCCCCTCGTGGTGGCATCCTGGCCGTCGGGTTGTGAAAGTATCTAAGAAATTAGGGCTGCGTCAGATTTAGGGACACGTGGCAAACAAATATTTGATACGCGTGGTGACGTGGCTGAGGGGCGAGGTCAAGGCTTTTCCAGAAGAGCTGTAAGATCTCTTCTTTCGTGCTTTGCTAGGATATTAAAATCCATATCTTGCTCTCTAGATTCGCGTGAAAATGCTGGAGGGAGTGGAACAACGAGCACAAACTATAGCATTGTCACACAAACTCCTGTTAGTTTTGAATGCAAGGTGTGTGTTCTTCGTGCTTGAGGGAAGAACAGGCCCAAGATCGAGGCGAGCAGCCAGCCGGATGATCCCACTGAGGAAGAGATTGAGCAGCTCAAGGATGCGGTGCTTTACAAGGTTTGATTTTTTGAGATTCACTCCCGTGTTTCGCTGCCACTGGAAACTTTAGGACGAGGATTTGATTTGATAGTTGTCAACAAGCCACCAGGATTGCCGGTCCAGGTTCCATTGTCGATGCTTTATACAGGACTCTACAGTGACTGGGCAAGAGATCGGAGTCCTTGAGTTTGGGACTCATGAGCAGATAGTGAAATGTCTCGTAATGGTGCAAACCATTTCAGAGGTGTCTAAGCAGAAACAAGTGGACAAATTCGAACCAGTTTCCATGGACTTCGAGGCTTGTATGGAGGCCTTCGAAAGGCCTCTATGTGAAGCTTTTTTGTAAGTAATCCTGTTTCCAGCTTCGTTTTTATTTCATTCCAACTCTTTTTACTTTAGTACTGTGGGCAACGCCTTTAACGAGCAGTGCGGACACGAGCTCCATGCAGCTCTTTTTCGTGGATTCTCACAGCTAACTCGCGCCGGTGGAGAAATATGAAATGCCAGAGTTCCCCCTTCAGGCTGATTGCGGTCCGATTCTTCAGCAGCTTCTTCATCAAGGCTCCTGAAAACGATCGAACTTAGGAGCAGTGGGAATCCAAGAGATGGAAATAAAGAATGTACTTCTGTCTAAGAACTTACAAGAAGTTCTATCGGGATTGCTCGAGCGTCTGGGGATTGTGATCATCCATTCGGACGCTACACTTGAGGCCGTACACGTAGTACGTCACCTTGTCCTCGTCGTTCAACCGCGACACGAGCTTGCAAAACCGGGAGCTATACTCCCTCAGCTGCCGGAGATCCATGAGCGCAAACTTGGCC